GAAGTCAGCGTTTTATGCTGCATCTAATGGTATGCATCTTATCTGGTTGCGGACTTCGATTTTTGACCATTCCCTCGTAAGCTTTTAACATTTCTTTTTTTTACGGTGATTACTTTAGCCTTGCCAATACTGCACAAGACACAATACTTCCTGTATCCAATGACTTTCTTATTCATCTCATGGGTTGCAACGATCACTGCTGGTTGGAATATTTCGCAAAGTGCAATGGGCTTCTACCACTATAGAGTGCGCTCAGACGCCGAGCTCAATCATCCCAAGTGAACAAAGGCCTGACTTTTTAAAAAGCTTTTGCGACTCTAAACCGTGTGTGAGAACTCCAACACTTGGACGTTGCTGTTCTTCTTCTGAAAAAGCCAAAAGAATCTTTTGAAATGCTTTTGATTATATTACAGAGATTGCATCGAACATTCTTTGTTTCTGTTCATATCTAATCACTAATTCATGCATGGGTAAAAATAATATTTGCCGTTACGCATAGATTGCACGTAAGTCAATAAATGTACATTTTCTTGTCATTGATCGAAATGTCATACTTGCAAGAAAATATTTATTTTGCTAATAATTTTAATTTCGATCCAAGTTCTTTCACTTTCTGTGGGTTTCGATTCATTTTACAAGAGATCATCGTTGACAGATCAAAAATAATGCTAAATTCTGACCAATATATCACTCTATTTACAATTCCCATTGTCTTTCATACATATTTGGTACGCCCATGTTTGGAGCCAAAAGTAGGAGAAGTATCGTGGTAATAGTATTTAGAAAGAGGATCATTGTGAAAAATAGTCGATCGAAGATATTGGCCAACTGCGACCAACGAGCAAGTAGTTCCTCTAGTTCTTGTTCTTCTCCAACATGATCGACCTAAACGAGAGATGGAAAAGTTTGAATTAGTGATAAAAAAAAGAAGAAAAGAAACTCACAACTTCTTTGCTGATTAAATCTTCAGTGGGCAAATCGAGCCTTACGGTGCCGTTGTTCATCTTTTTGGAGCTTTGCTTTCGCTTTTTCGTTGAGCCGCTTCCGAAAACAGGTGCCAAAATATCGAAACCGAGCACTTCAAGCCATTGTGGAATTCTGAACATGCCCA